AAAAGTGGGTAAAGGAATAGCACAGACAGCAAAAAAAACCAAGCTTTGGAAGACGTTATGAGGAAATTACAATGGGAAAAACGGGGTATTAACATAAATGGCCAATACTTGAATCACTTGAGATATGCAAACGACATTGTAATAACAACAGATAAAAGGGAAGAATTACAAAATATGATGGATGAATTAAATAGCGCATCAACAAAAATTGGTCTACAAATGAATTATAATAAAACGAAAATTATGACCAACCAACCAGAAGAATTAATAATTACAATTGCACAAACAACTGTAGAACAAGTAAAACAATATGTATATTTGTGACAACTAGTTAAATTAAATAAAGAAGATCAGACCGGAGAAATAAAGGAAAGGATACGGTTGGCTTGGGTATCCTTCGGAAAACTTTACTATATACTAAAAAATAGAAAATACCCCTAATATCTAAAAACAAGAGTCTTCAACCAATATATACTTCCTGTTCTCACCTACGGTTCTTAAACTTGGACTTTACAAAGGAAAACATGGAAAAAATAGCAAAGCCCCAAAGAGCCATGGAAAGACAAATGCTGAACATCAGTCTATCAGACAAGAAAAGAAATACTTGGATCCGCAACAAAACAAAAGTTACCGATGTATCAACGCAGATAGCAAAACTTAAGTGGAAGTTCGCTGGACATACCATAAGACAGAAAGACGACAGATAGAATAAGATGATTATACACTGGAGACAATATAGTTACAAACGAAAAAGGAGAAGGCCACAAATGAGATGGTCAGAGGACTTGAAGAAACACGCAGGCCTGAAGTGGATACAAACTGCCTACAATAGAGAGACGTGGAAGAAGGAAGAGGAGGCCTATGTCCAAAATTGGACAGCAAGGGCTGTATAGATAGATAGAGAAATTTTCGTTCAATTGTCTGAACCGTTTCCATAGCTTACACCTACTAAGGATTGTAATCAGATCCAATGTCAGCACCTGGGTAAGTTTTAATTAATTCGATGCAATTTCTAAATCGATTTTTTATTGGAATAAAGTCGATTAGGTTCCTAGTAATTTGATAATCTGATTATGTATTTGACCTCCAGGTGTAGAGCCTTTTGGGTGGTAATTTGAAGTGAGTATTCGATATAATCTGGCGATATAAGGTCGCAGAACTGAACCTATCTCCACGTTCATTTCTGTTTCTTACACCGTAATCCTCCACAATTTTCAAAAAGCGTCCTTTGCCGACTTTGACGTTAAAATCTCCGAGGACTATGGTATTTGCTGCGCTTTAATAAGATCTACAGCATAGATGTTGATATGTTGGGACATAAACCTGAATTACTTTGGTAATGAACGGCTTTGAACTTAATTTCACTAGGATTACTCTGTTACATATGGGGATATAATTTACTACCGATTGAGATGTGTTTCGCGTCTACGATTGGAATTCACATCTGCCATCATCAATGAAGTGGTGGATAAGAAAAAAATCTTTTGAATTGATCCATATACCTACCTGAGATTTTAAATAGAATGTAATTTATTAGACTTACAAGAATTTAGAAGTTTAAAGTTTTGACTCAACTAATTACAATTGTATAATCACCAAATTGTATACGGGCTTTACACCAACAATAAATTCATGAAGAAATTCGTGAAGTCGCTTCAAGGTCAAATTTGACCTGTGTAAAGCACAATTTGACATCCAATTTTGCCGTAAATAAATTCATGAATAACTTCGTGAAGAAATTGACGAAATAGAACATGTTCTATTTTTCCCATTTATTGGACGTGAGTTTCAGTATCACCAAGCTGTGTAGATTTGACGCGAAGTAAAGGTAATAATTATTTTTGTTTTTGATTATTGAACCAAATTAAACTTTGCATTTTTAAGTCGCGTGTCAAGTAATAATTATGGAAAAGAGGTAAGTTGATTATTTTATAATAAAAGACAGAAAATAATATTATGTATTTTTTTTAAGGAAAAACATAAAATTTCAAGGCAGAAAACTCTAGTTTTTATTAAAATATTGTTTACTTTTCCCTATCTTACATGTTTTTTTCAAATATTATTTATTTAATGCTTTGAGAATATATAGTAAATATTTGTTAATAAAAGAATATATAATTCTACCCTTTTCTTCACTCGTATCTTTTACTTGGTCTAGTCATTAGGTAAATGTTTTTATCATCTTGAAAGTTTAAAAATGGATTAATCAACGTTTTCCAAGAGATATGGATGCTTTTGATTTCTGAAACAGGAAGGGATGGTTTTCTTTGAAATGCCAAGTATTATAAGATTGCAAAATGAAAAGTATGGAGTGATATAGTACCTAAGCTGTCACATTCCACTCATGATTCTCAAAAACAGCAACTTTCAAAAAAAAAGAATTTAGAGATTTTAAATTCTGATAATTTGGTGATACTCCCTGGATATATTTTCTTTTTTAACCAGGTATGGATAATATTGTATTATTGATAGGATTTTTAAATTAACTTTGCGTCGAGTCCACTCATCTATTTTTTTTGAACCAGGTATGAATAATTCTATATTATTGATTAGATTTTAAATTCACATTCAGACTGTCCACTAAAACAATTCACTAAGACATCCTGAAATTTTGTGCAATGAATTCCAGATATGTATGGAAGAAGAAAGTTTCCAATTTTAGCCAATGAAAGTGGCTGTATAGTTGAAATGATGCAATTGAAAAATCAAAGTGGAGACAATTTTGAAGATGAATTGCTAAATAAAGACGTTATTGAACTTCCTTAAGTTGAAGGTGTTTGAGAATCCTATAAAATATTTTTGTGTTATGGGAAAACCTCGGAAGCATCATTAAAATACATAGAACTTTTTTTTATTAAATTTTTCTTTGTATAATTTAATTTTTAAACCTAATAAATATATTTCTTTTCAATGCATGTCTTCGCCAATTCCATTTCTCTGACATGTTTCTGTTGTGCTCTTTTTCTACATGAGGCCGTTGGCCTGCTACTAATTTTGTTCTTTCTTATTCATTCTTCTTATTTTCATACTTTATTATTCATAGTTTTCTTCTTAAATTGACTATCTTCCTTTAAAAGTGCAGGATTCCATACCCTACGGATAAAATCTGTATGGTCTTTATTTAGAAAAAAATCATAGTTGTTTATGTATAACAAATATTAAAACTAGCTTTTATTCCTGTTATTATGATTATTCATTTATTATTTAAATTATATAATATTTAAAAATTATTGTATTTTTTATACACCTATTTAGTTTAGTCCTAACCTACCCTACTATTCAATAAAGCAAATTGTAATATGTTATTCGCTCCGTGCGTGACTGAACGCGACACCTACCGCCTTCATCTGACAATTTTGGAGTCCCAATTTTCAGGTTAAACATATGACATATGTTTTGACATTGTTAAATACATGCGAAATTGACAATTATTAATAAATTAGTTTTTTAACTATATTTTTTCAGTTTATGTACAAAATAAATTGTAGTATTAAAAATTGGGTAGGGAAAAATCTAGTACTAGCAAATCAAGTTTTTCACGCAAAAGAGCATATAATTAAAAACAATAATAGTAAAAGTTATGATATAAAAGCTAAAGTCATCTGCAGTTAGCTTGAAGCCTTATGAAATATCATTCAAGGTAAATTATTTAAATTTTCTCCTATTTGAATTGCATAAAAAATGAAATTATGTGATATTTACTTTTTCATATTAATAGCACGAATTCATCTTTTTCTTTTCTCTAATTTATAAGTAATCTTTGGGAACCTATAAAAACTACACTCACTGTTTTTGCTATTATTAGCACAATTAAATACGCAACATGTATTTGCACACATTTTTGATAAAATTTATGGGTAAAAAACATTTTGTCTAATATTCCAATTTTGTCATATTTCGCCGCTACGCACGCTGGCATCGTTTCAATGTATCCCTACCATGGTCACGCACGAAGCGAATAGACAAATCATTAAAATTGTAAAGAATCAGCTCACAAACTAGTGGTAAAGTATTACTGGTTATTTCCATGTTTTATTTATTTTAAGTATTCATTTCTTTACAATATCTCTTTGTGATCAGAATTGTACTCATCTCAATATTCTAACAATAAACATAGCTATTTATTTATATTAGGTAAATATCTCTTGAGAATATATTATGAATAGTGGTTAAAAGATTATAAAAAGTATTGTAGATTTCTCTCTTCTTTACTTCTACTTGGTTAAGGCAGGTATTGTATTTAAATAAAGGCTTTCGTCATTCTAAAAGTCACAATGAATTGATTAACATTTATACTAACTACAGTTAAATTTTAGTATGTAATGAATGCTAGATTTTCTTGTTTTTTCATATAAAAAAAAATCAAAATTACCACTTTTTCTGTTTCTTTAGCTATGTTGTCCTTATTAAAGTTATTTGAAATTATCTTCTATGTCTAAAATAAAAAAGTTTTCACTAATTATAATGTAATTTCGACTTATTTTTACCTCTTGTTCAAGCTCTTTACCAAATTTAGCATAATTTTTTGTACAATCCTAATCACTATTTTCTTTTTTAAAACAATATTATTTTCTGATTCTATTTCCAAATACAAATATATTTATATTTATTCAAATAAACAACAATAAATAACATCCAATAATAAAACCATTGGTACTACTGAAATAATGACATTTGATGTAAAAATTTATTTGAAGTCAAAGAAACTTTTATGTCCAAGAAATTCACGAATTTATTGACACAGAAATTGATGAATAAATTCATGAATTTCTTCGTGAATTTATTGTTGGTGTAAAGCCCGTATTTGACTTTTTAGAAAAAAATTTACATAAAAAACATATTTAAACTTAAATTTAAATCACCTACTGGTTGATTTTTTAGTGAACTAGACTGTACTATTTTTATACTAAGTAATACATCATCAATCCATTTATACCTATTACTCTTAAAATACGTCGAAAAATATAGAAGTTAATAAAGCAGAGTTTATTTATTTTCAGGAAAAGCTGCAGCGACAATTAGACGAACAGTCCCAGCGTTATGAAGAACAGTTAACCGAATTACATTCTGTTATAGCCGAATTGACGAGAAAATTACATCAGCAACGGTCAATGGCTATAGCCGAAGAAGAAGAAGTATCAGGTGAGAGATTTCTGTGAGATTAGATTCCTTATTTATTGCTGATGTTCTTTTGCGAGGGTAGAAAATACGTGAAACGGAAAACTGAGGATAATGAAACGTTTACAAAACGATATAGGTAGAGGAAAATATTTGTGCCAGTGAGATTGTTGTTCATTGGAGGGATATTTATCCAACTATTAAAGGAAACAGGTTTATGTAATTAATTCGTGTATATAGTAAAATTGTAGACATTTATAGTCGTGAAACAAAAGAAAAATATATATATTTGAATAGTTCCAAAATGAAGGTAGTAGTTTATTTAACACTTTCACTTAACTTTCAGGACTAACAAATGAGTTATATAATTTAATTTCTTAAAATAATTTTATATTCTTTATTTCTATATTTTCAATACAATTTTGAAGCAGTTGATTTTGACATTACGTAAATTATAATATTCGATAACCTGCTAAGTATATTCTTTTCAGGGTTTATAGTTGTGCTCTGAAATGATTTTTCCTGACGTTTCTTTTCCGACAGACTTTATCATAATTGATAAAGCTCCTATCGTAAAGTCTCAATGATATTTCTGTAATATATGTACTATTTACTGCCGCCTACGAAAAGTGGAGGGTAAGTGGCTAGTAACTGAGTATTGGTGATAGTATCCATGCCAAGTAATTCCCAATTACTACACACATTGATGACACTAGAAAATCATATGAACGATGAAATGCGTGAAGGCGAGTATCCAGTGTCTCAAATTTTGGATCACCTTGGCTACCGGGTTACCCTTATAGAAGAGTCCCTGATTCTCCAGCTTGCGGATTGAGCGTAGGCCCAACAACCATACATTAAAAAAATCATTAATTACGAGAGCTAAAGAAACAAAAACTTGACAGACTTTATGTCGATGACCTGACAAACAAAAAAAGTAAATTTGATCTTAATGAAGAAACTTTAACTTGGTCAAACATTGTAACCTCCTTCACAAACTACGAATACAGGTATGGCAAGAACGCGCGTTACAGAAGATTGGAATACTGGATTATATGCCCATACACAAAAAAGGAAACGTTATTGAATGTTCCAACTTTAGAGGGATTTACTTCTTAATACAGCATACAAAATTGTGTCCCTGATACTTAACGAACGACTGGCATGGTATACTGACAATATAATAGGATCCTATCAAAGAGGCTTCTTGAAAAACAAATCTACCATTGATCACATATCATCTATCAGACAAATATTAGAAAAAACGACGAGTCGACATAGACGCCCATACATCTTCGTAGACTTTAAGCAGCGTCGATACTATTGACAGGTCCAATTATATCGCGATGATCGAATTAGGAATACCAATAGTTTGGTAGAATTAATTAAAATGACAATGATGAAAGTCGAATGTAAAGTGCGCGTACAAGGGGATGTTTCAAAACCATTTAAAACCAACAGAGGACTGTGCCAGGGAGATGCGCTATCGTGCGCTGTTCAACTAGCGTTAGAAAAAGTTATGAGAGATTCGGGAATAAACTTAAAGGTACGATATATACCCGTAGTATACAAATAATGGCATACGCTGATGATATCGTCATAATTGGAAGAATCCAAAATGAAGCAGTGAGGCTTTCACACGTATCAAAAATGCCGCAGAAAACATCGGACTTCTGATTAACATCCAGAAAACTAAATATATGCCGGCCATATCAAGAATTCAACAAAATAACTTAGAGGTGCAACACGAAACGATAGAAATGGTAGAAGAATTCTGCTACTTAGGATCACTGGTAGACTACAAAAATAACACATCCAAAGAGATAAAAAAAAGAATATGCGTGGCTAACCGCTGTTATTTCGGCCTGGGCCCTCAACTAAGAGCGAGAAGTATGTCAATAGCAACAAAGTGCAAACTTTATAAAACAATAATACGCCCAGTGCTCACATACGGATCGGAAACATGGACAATGACGACCCGAGATGAAGAGTTACTACGAGTCTTTGAAAGAAAAGTATTGAGGACCATATTTGGCGGAGTAAACGAACAGGGTCTGTGGAGAAGGCGATATAACTTTGAACTCTATAGACTTTTTGGTGATGCAGATATTGTGAAGACCATCAAAATAAACCGCCTAAGGTGGGTGGGCCACGTTATGCGGATGGATGAGAGTGATCCCACTAAAATAACTATGCTAAACAGGCCGGTCGGAAGAAGAAGAAGGGGGCGACCTAAACTCAGATATCTGGACGATGTACAGGAAGATCTGAGGGAGATTGGAGTGAGGGGCTGGAGAAGACAGACACTCGATAGGGAAGGATGGAAGAATGTTTTGAAGCAGGCCAAGGCTCACGAAGGGCTGTAGCGCGCCTGATGATGACTTGTCTAACCGTTACTACTTTGACCGACGCTCTTAACTAAGTGAGAATTATATTAAAAACAACTAAATGTCCTTTTATTATTGTTATATTAAACATTAGGCCCGTTCTTATATGATCTTTAAGACATAGTTGTATTTGTGACAGACTAGTATGGCTTGTGACATACTGGTTCCATTTCGGACTTCCCTGTCTTCCCCATCATCCCCAACAGATCTCAATGTTCTCATTTTTAATGTTTTAAGTAGTCTTTTTGTTTCTGCTGTATCTGTTCTCGTTTCTGTCGCATATGGTATGATCTTACACATGATTTATATATACGTACTTTCCCATCTAATCTTTATTCCTCCAGAGGACACCCCTTAGACATTCTGATATTTATTTGCATGTAATATTTAACTGATTTATTTGCCTGTTTCATTACATCATCTTCAAGGTTTCTGTACCTGGACATTTGTACTTTCAAATACTCGAATCTCGAAAATATTACAGATGAATTTATTTTTGTTTCTAGAGGAATTTGGGTTTCTCCCGATAGTTTCGGTTACAGAGCACTGGCTTGAAGTCAAATAGCCTGTTTTTGTAGAAAAATAAAGTAGTGGAGTTTTTCTTAGTTCATAATAAGAATTTTAATCTATGCAGTCTTTGCATTTATAGATCACTGACTCTTAAATAAAAGAAGAAAAATTCTAATCGGTGACTTGAATATAAATTACGCTGCTGTTTATCCTACCCAACTGTTCTTGGTCAATATATCCGAATCGTATGGTCTCACAATGCACGTTAATTCTCCTACAAGAATCAGTAAAACAACATATTATATGATAATTTATTATAGTGTCCCAGATTTCCAACCCCTTGATGTTCACTCTACAATTATTAATGCAGACCTATCTGATCATGAAACAGTATATACTAAGTTTAACACTTTCAGCAAACCCTTTTCAAAAACCCGACGTTTAGGTAGAATTTTTTCCGCGCACAACTTTCGTAAATTCCTAAATTTATGCTTAACTTCTGGGTGGCACTTTCCTTTTGTGGTCGTGAACTATAATTTCAGTGATTTTCAAATAAGCTTGTCTGAATTTTCAATAAGGCATTTCCTTTAATTACAGTTAACCCAAAACATCACAAACCCGGACCCCAAATGTATCCGCATATCAGCCAAGAATATTCTTTCACTACTGTATATTAAGAAAGCTACTACCAACGTATCTGTCACTGAATATATTACGAAGTACAGAGAAACCTATCCAAAACTTATCAAAACACCTAAACAAAAGCGTACGATCTAAGATCGTCTGGAAAGATCTATTGCAAAAAAAGCTTGGTCCATAATAAACGATCTTCGAAATAAAACTAACATCGCTCAAACATTTTCCCTTCCAAACACTGAAAATCTAATATAGTATAATAGTAGTGTCAAAACCAAATATCTTCCCGTAGTACGGATGTACTACGGGAATGAACAAGATGGTCTGATGACATAAAACGGATCGACAAAAAGTGGATGCAAACAGCACAAAACAGAAATACATGGAAAAGACCGAGGGAGACCTATATCCAGCAGTGGATACATCTGGGTTAAATGATGAGTACGGATGGACTATCCATACAATTTTTTTCAAATCTCCCAAAAAATGTGTTGGTTGTCGTGATCTCACTAATTAATGATTGTTTTGAAAAAAGTACCTTTTTAAGAGTGCATAAAGATAGCTATTATTCCTCTTCATAAGGTTGGTGAAAAATTGAGTGCATGTAACTATAGGCCTATTGCCTTATTACCGATACTATTCAAAATTATTGAGAGACTTATAAAATCCCAACTTATGTCCTTTCACGTTGAAAACAACATTTTATAACGAAATCAGTTCGTCTTTTTATGTACCTTATGTACGAATGATGCTATGTTTTCTGTGCTACTAAGCACTAAACAATAATCTTTGCATTGCAACTGTGTTTTGTGACTATGCTAAAGCTTTTGATTGTGAAAATCACATTTTGATAAAAAACTAAATTTCTGCGAAATTAGACGTGTTTCTTTGAATTGGTTCCAATCTTACTTGGTGAATAGAAAACAACTCCATCCATCCATCCAATGGCACTACAGCCCAAATCGGGCCTTGGCCTTCTTCAACAAGCTTCTCCAATCATGTCGATCTTTTTCATGAACGCGTTCCCAGACAGTTCCTGGCATCCTCATCGACTTCGTCTTCCCATCTCTTTTTAGGTCTTTCCAACAGGTCTTTTTCCGTGCATTCTTGCATTTAGTAATTTTCTGGGAATTCTATTCTCATGCATGCGGTCCACGTGCCCTCTTACGTGCCCGTAATCTCTACAGTTTAGTGTATTGTGCTAGAGTTGGTTCGATATATTGCTCGTATATTTCTCTATTATACCTAATTCGCCAGTTGTTGTTTTCACTTATTGGGCCCAGTATCCTACATAATATTTTTCTTTCAAACCCATCTAATGCATTGGCAGAATCTATTCACATGTTCTATATCGTCAATAAAGTGTTGTTGCGCCGGTCTATTTGATCTGGTTAGTATGAGTAGTTTTGTTTTATTTGTATTTATTGCTAGCCCTACTACTTCTGCACTTTGTTTCAACTCAACGTAGGTTTCATTTGCTGCATTCACTGT